TTTACGTTTAACTTTCTAACCGTCGCTTCTACGCCAAAACACCAGACAACGTTAATAAATCTGTATATCCGTTATGAATTTCATCATAATAATGATACAATGCTAAACTATGTTGATCTGTTGTAGAAGTCTTTTCGCTGATTTTGTGTTTCGTCCCGGCCAATGGATCAGGAAAACTGGATTATTTTATTACTAATCACTCTTAATGACTTCAAAATGTGCTAGTCATTTATTACACGGTCACTGATCATCGTACAGAGAGCCAAACTGCTCTTATAGTACACATGGTGCAATGCTGTCGTCGTTTACACTTATGTTACAAGGGCGCATTTCTTAACGTCACAGTTGTTTAAGGTCATGGCCAAGGTAGAACTTTGAACTGCGTTTCCCTGTGAACTGCTAGGCAGTTTTTGACCTGATTTCGTTCCGAAGGAGGGCACATGACATCACTCGGTTGATGACAGCAAGCTTCGCAAATAAGTACAAGTTTCTTCAACGGGGTCGCGTAGGAAGCGTCAAACGTTTCGTGACACCGTGTGCAAGCGTAAGTTCAAGTTGCCTCAATCGCTGGCGGTCGAAGTGACAGCTCGGAGAAGTTTTCGACATATCAGTGCTCCGTTCGGTCAGAACAGAGAGGCACAAAAACTACAAGCAGGCTCGGATCATTCCGCAGTCCTTTTTTCTAAAGTTTTACGATGGTCCACTCGTAAGACATATCTTTTTCACAGATGTATGCCGCCCTGTATATAGCGTAGCTCGCAACGCGTTCCTCTGTTCGCGTTTTACCTACGTAGGCGAGCACCAATATAACGGTGTCGACGAATCTCGTGGCATCTAGATGAACAGAAACATAGCGAACAGAATGAAAAACAAATTTTGGAGTAGATTCTGTTGAGACACTCTCCCAGTTCATTCTTGACCGTCTTCGAGGTCTTCGGTCGGTCGGCTGGATAAGCAGTAGCTGTTTCGCCTTCCACTCTGAAAATATTCGCAAAATGTGTCCATGTCATCCGCAGCTTGATCTAGGAAAGTTCACCACTAAAGGTTCACCGACTGGTAGAGTTGCCGCATGGAAAATTCACCGACCCACAATTCGTCGAAACGAAAATTCTCCGATTCTACAATTGATCGCTGATGATTTATTTATTTATTAAAACTATGCAACGTGGAAAACATTTTTAAGCACAATAATTTGTTTCATCTAATAAGGTATTGTCAATATTTCTGAAAATTGAAATATGCTGATTTTGAATTAATTTGCCTAA